GCTCCACCTGCCCACCCCCACCTCCCGTGGAATTCTGCCCTGCCCTCCCCACCTCCGGCCCACCACCTGTCCCCACACCCTGCTCACCCACCGCTACATACATCCCCCGCCCCCCCACCTCCACTACAGCCCGCCACACTTCCCCTCTCAACGGCCCCCAGCCCGCCCCCCCCTTGGCCCCAATCCCCTCCAACTGTCAGGCCCCCTCTACCCTCTCTTCCACCCACTGCGCACACCTTTCCCCACCCTTTTCCCCTTTTCCCAAGCTAACCCCCCGCACCCCCGGCCTCTGCCAGGGAGTTCCTTCCCCCTTTGACGCCCTCTTGAGCCAACTCCAGCAACTCACACCGCCACCGCCAGGCATGCTGCCTCTGTAACAATGCCCCAGCAACCCCGCGAGTGGGGAAAGGCAGACCCGGGAGCCCCTCGGCGATCTGGGAGGTCCCGCAGCCCGAGCCACCCCCTACTCTCCCACTCCCCCCCACTTCAACAGTCAGGAAGAACAACATACACCTGACCAAGCGAAAACACTCACACAATCTGACCCTAGGGGCCAGAAGCGTACCTTTGAAGAGGATGGAACAAGGAACGCCAAGCCCCCACTGGAGGAAATACACGAGGAGGAGCCAGCACGCTCAAAACCGCGCCCTACTACCCCCGCTGCCCCATCCCAGCCTACCCCCCCTTCAGGTGACAGCGGGGGCGGCACCCATGCTATGCTCAGTAGAGAGATCCTCCAACTCACTCGCTACCTCCCATTCGCAAACCAGATTACGTGTGAAAACACTTAATCCTAACCCGCACCCCCAAGCACATAGAGCGGGAGAGGGCAGAGCCAGGGGGAACTTGCAGCTGACACTGCACGGGAAGGGGTAAGTGGTTTGTGTGTGAAGGAGCAGCAGAGGCTAGCAGAGGATGGGGCAGCAAAGGCTGCACGGGAAGGGGCAATGGGGGTTGTGGGGGGAAGGGGGCAGCAGAGGCTGCAGAGGAAAGGGCAGCAGAGGCTGCAAGGGAAGGGGCAGCAGCGGCTGCACGGGAAAGGGCGGCAGGGGCTGCACGGGAAGGGGCGGCAGGGGACCGTGACTCTGGCCAGGCAAAGGGGCAGAGGCCATGGAGACAGGTTTTGCAGGAGTAGGGGCCACGGAACCTGCTGCTGTGTCGGCTGGGGGAACCGCAGCAGAGGAGGCTATAGGGACCGCACCAGGTGAGGCCGCACAGACCACAGCAGGTGTGGCTGCAGGGATCACAACGGGTGAGGCTGCAGGAGGGACCATGGCAGGTGAGGCCGCAGGAGCGCAGTAGGTGAGGCTGCAGGGAGCGCAGCAGGTGAGGCTGTAGGGGGCGCAGCAGGTGAGGCTGCAGAGAGCGCAGCAGGTGAGGCCGCAGGGAGCGCAGCAGGCGGAACTGCAGGGGCCGCAGCAGGTGAGACTGCGGCGGACGCAGCAGGTGAGGCTGCGAGGGCTGCATCATGTAAGGTTGGGCAGACTCTAGCAGGTGAGGCTGCACAGTCTACAGCTGGTGAGGTCGCAGGGACTGCAACAGGTGAGGCCGCAGGGACTGCAGCAGGTGAGGCGGCAGAGACCACAGCGGATGAGGCTGCAGGCGGGACCATGGCAGGGTGAGGCCGCAGGGAGCGCAGCAGTGAGGCTGAAATAGCCGCAGCAGGTGAGGCTGCAGAGGCCGCAGCATGTGAGGTTGAGCAGATTCTAGCAGGTGAGGCTGCACAGACTGCAGCAGGTGAGGCCGCAGGGACTGCAGCGGGTGAGGCTGCAAGGACTGCAGCACGTGAGCCTGCAGGGACCTGCGGCAGGCAAGGCTGCAGGGATCGCGGCTGGTGAGGCTGAGCAGATTACGGTAGGCGAGGTTTTACAGGACTGCAGCAGTCGAGGCTGCAAGGACTGCAGCAGGAGCAACAAAGGCCACAGTGGGGGCTGGTATAGGGGGAGGGTGCTACGGGTGCAGCGGGGGAAGGGGTTAACGGGGACTGGTGCGAGGGAGAGTGCCGCCCCGGCTGTAGCAAGAGAGGGTACGGCAGGGGCTAGAGTGTGAGAGGGGCAGCAGTGGCCTCAAAGTCAGAAGGTGAGGCTGCAGCTGAAGCAGCAGGGAGGGCCATAGCACGGCCAGTAGGGGCGGCAGGGGCCGCAGCAAACGCGGGGAAACACACAGCAGGGCCGGCAGGGCCGGCAGAGACTGCAAAAGGGGCTAGCAGTAAAGCGGCAGCAGGCTGGGGTGGGCTCGGGGGGACATAGGGGCAACAGGGGAAGGAGAGGTGAGGGTGGTCCCGACCGGGGTGGGCACTGAAGAGGGGGATGTGATAGCGATAGAGGAGGATGAGGGAGAGGATGTGATGCACATTGACGGGCCACTGGCCCAATACCTCACGCTTGACGGTGAGGCCGACCCGGCCCCCCTGCAGCCTCACGTCGAGGTTCCCCCTCTACCCCCCCATGCCCGTCCCCATGCTAGCAGAAGGACCGATGGAGGGGCTGGGGGAGACCTTGAGGACAGAGCCGCGCGAGGGAGCCCCCATCCTCACCTCCCGTCCTCCAGCCCACCCACCCCCAGGAGCACCACTTCCCCACCCCCACCCTCAGGTCCCGGTAGTGTCCAGGGGGGCAGCCAAGGCCCTGGCCTTCTTGGCGGAGCCGTGCTCCCCGACCCCCACGCTGCTCCATGGCCAGCTCCCCCTCTCCGTCCCCAACGCCTGACCCCACGGTTGCAGGCGGTCCACCGGGAGAGCACGCGGGTGCGACAAGAGCAGAGTCACCCGAGGGCACCCCTTCTCTCACCCTCTCACCCCTCCCCGCCCCTTCCCTCACTCCTTCCTTCACCCCCAAGGGCAGCACACCTCTGCCCCCACCCTCAGGGGCTCCTTAGAGCAACCACGTGGAGCAGCCAGGGCTCTGGTCTTCCTAGAGGAGCCATGCTCCCCGACTCCTACCAACACCCAGCCACCCCTTACCGGCCCACTACCCCCTCCTCCACCAGGCCCCCCCCCCACCCGGTTAGTACACACATCTCGGAGGTTGAAGCATCTCTGCGGCCAAATCCCTCTCCCACACGCTACAGGCACCCAAACCACCCGAGTCGCCGCACAGCCCCAACACGCCCACCCAACAGGCTGCCCTCCCCACACCACCCCCCCCAGGCAGCCGAGACCCACCCGCAAGGGCTTGCGCCCCAGGCTCATGGGAGCGGCGGCACCCGGGTAGAGGGGCCCACAGGAGAGGCCACCACAGAGGCCCACACAAATCTCTCTCCCCCCACCGTTTGTACCTCGCTCTAACCTCCACACTGGCCCAGCCCCTCGACCCCCACCTCCAACCCCCTCTCCCGGCCGGGTTCCCCACGAGTGGCCCCCGTTGGGCAGCCATCACCCCCCCACACACAGCTTGCCCGATCTGTTCCCACGGAGGGGGATGTTTTCGAGGAGAGAGGGGATGCAACACAGAGCACCCCCCTGCCTGGCGAACCACCCATCCTCCCTCCACCCACCCCTTTGGCCCCACAGCCCCCCCCTTCCTTCACAAACAGGCGCGGGACAACCAGGTTGGCCGCCGGCGGAAGAACAGGGCAGAGGGCAGAGGGTCAGCCCACGTACTCCCCCCTCCCTCCCTCCCCCACCAAGAGCCCCTCCCTACCTCACATCCCGTTGAACCATTACCAGGCCCCTACCTCTACAGCCCGACCACCAAACCTACACTCCCGCCCCGCTCCTGCACCTCCACAGGGCCATGGGAGCGGTACCAGCCCACTCACCCCCATTCTGCCCCCTCCCGTGCTGTGTCCCCCTCCCAGGTGGCGGCGGCCGCGATCGCTACTGGGAGGGAGGCCGTCGGGTTGAGGGATGCGCCCATGGCAGACGCCACCGACTCCCCCTCCCATCCCTCCCACCCCTTCCATGTCGACGACCCCCTACCGCAACCCATGGTGATTGGGGAGGGCCAAGGGGGCCTTCTAGGGCAGGGTCCACACCCGAGCTCCGCTCAGCCCAGCACGCCCCACTCCACCCTCTACCCTGCCAGCCCTCCTACTCTCACCTACAGGCAGGCAGGTCTTCGAGACCCCAGAGGAGGTGAGGGCTGGCATTTCAGATTTGCTGGCGATACACCGCCTGAGCAGCTCTCCGGCTGCCCCCACCCTTCCAGTCCCACAGGACCGGACCCGGACGTATGCGGAGGTCACCCGGTCTGTCCTTCTTTTATCCCCCCCGCCACTCAGCTAGGCGCGTCACTCCCGACCCCAATGGAGACGGACCGGGGTCTGAGGCCGTGTCACTCGCACCTAGACGGGGTGGCGCCTCCCCCCGTTCAGCCCGTGGCGCAGGAGGTCACCAGCAGTAGGGATGAGGCATCCGCCCCTACCGAGACCCCTCCGCCTGGGGTAGCAGAGCCGTCACTTGAACCGCACCCCGCCGAGGGGCAGGAGCACACCACGGCACACACTTCAGGCTCACCTCCACGTCCCCCCTCCCCAGCTTCAACACCGGTACCGGCACGAGGCCCGGCCCTATCCTGTGCGACACCACCTCTATCTTCGCTGACACCCCCCCCGCGCGGGGCTGGTGAGTCGTCTCCTCCCCTCATCCCAGGCGATCCTGTCGGAGCTCAGGCCGCCCACGGGGTCCCCTCTACAGCCAGTTCCGACGCCACGGCCCCGATTGACCCCGCCGACACGGCGACATCACCCGACCAGGTCGTGAGTTGCCCCACCTGCAGGAGCTCTCTCGCGAACCGACGCGCGCTCCAGCACCACATTCCCTTCTGCCATCCTGCGGACGCGGCTCGCAGGGCGCAGGCTGCCCATGATACCGCCTCGATCATCCCTTCCCTCTCACAGCCCCGTGCGACCGGGATGCAGTTCACCGACGCACAGTGGCAGACGCTTCGACTCGGTGGACTGGACAGAGTACTTCTCGCCCGAGCGTATCCATACACGCCCTCTCCGACGTGTCCCGGAGAGGGTCCGCGGAGGATATCTTGACGTCCTCAGTGCGATCCTAGTCCGCATTGCCCAGGACCCGGAGGCTGCTGGCCCTACCTTCCTCCTCGCTGCAGCGCCGACTCTTTTCCTTGTTCCAGCGACGCCACCCGACCGCTCGCACACGGCTGCCATTGCAACGCGCATCTCTCGCTTTGGTCGAGGTGAGTGGGCTGAGCTAGTCTCAGATGCACTAGGCCGTCGCACACCCCTTCCTCGCCGCACAGGTCACCGGTCACGCACCGCCACCGATCCCTCTGCAGCAGATGAGCGCCGCATTGCACGTTGCCTTCGTCTGGCAGCGTGCAATGAGACCTCACGGGCGTGCGCGGCTCTCGAGTCCGCGGATGGCAGCCCCAGATACACAGGGGACGATACAGCGCCTGCAGTCGAAGCACCCCAACGCGGAGAGGCCGACCCCAGCTTGGCTGTCTGGCTTCCAGGGGTCCCCTCTCGTGCTCTCGGTGGATCACTTACGCCGCGCGATTTTCACAGCTCCGCGGGGCTCTTCGGGAGGACCGTCCGGTTGGGTCGCTGAGCACCTGCGAGACACTTTCCTAGCTTTCCCTCAGAGTCTCCATTTCCTCCTGGCCGTGTACCAGCAGTGGCTCCGAGGCCGTTGCGCTCCAGCTGCGCGCTCCTTGCTAGCGTCCTCCACCCTCGTGGCTCTGGCGAAGTCGAACATGGATGTTCGGCCGATTGCCATCGGCGAGGTTTTGGTCCGCATTCTTTCTCGGGCAGTTTGTCTCCAGCTACGTGACCAGATGGCGAGGGTCTTCTTGGCATCACAGCAGTTTGGGGTGGGGGTTACGTGCGGGACAGAGGTCGTAGTTAGAGGCGTCCGCCGCGCTCTGGCTGACCACCCAGACTGGGTGGTCCTGCAGCTAGACGTGGCGAATGCCTTTAACTCTTTCCACCGAGACAGGATGTTTCAGGCGCTGCAGGCCAGTCCCGGAGTTTCAGTGTCTGATCCCCTTCATCGGCCTCTTCTACGGGACGCCCTCGGATCTCCACTACAGGTCAGGCACGGGAGTGGTCACGATGCACTCGGAGCGGGGCACTCGCCAGGGAGACCCTCTCAGCCCCTTCTTGTACGCTCTGACACAGCGTCTTGCTTTGGAGCCGGTTCTGGCGGAGGGGGATGTCCAGCTCTGGTCGTACGCCGATGACACGTACGTGCTAGGTCCCCCAGACAGGGTGCTGCACCATTTTGCCGAGATCGTGAGGCGCTTGGGCGAGATGGGCCTTGCAGCCCAGCCGCACAAGTGCCTCGTCTACCAGACAGAGTCCTTTCTGTCCAGGGATCTGGAGGCTTTTCACGGGCCTAGGGATCGAGGTCGCACGCCGAGGGCTCACCGTGACAGGCGTACCGGTAGGCACCGTTTCGTTCGTGGAGCAGAGTCTCCCGGATCGTCTCGAGAGGATGGGGCGGGTGCTACCTTGGCTTCCGAGGTTGCGCCAGCCCCAGACAGCTGCCCGCCTTCTTTCGGCGTGTGTCAGCACTCGTCCGCAGTACCTGTCGAGGACCGTCCCTCCTTCGCCCGCAGTGATCTCCAGTTTTACACGGTGGGACGCACGCCTGGGAGAGACATTTCAGCAGCTTTTAGCTTCAGGGACCTGGGCTTGTCGCGAGGACGTCCGAGAGGCCGCCCTAGACCAGATCTTCCTCCCCATCCGTCTCGGGGGTTTCGGCATTCGTCGCATGGCGCGCATTGCCCCGGTGAGTTTCGTGTGCTCCTGGGTGCAGTGTGCACCCATTCTCTGTTCTCTCCCTGCGTGTGGCGAGGTGTTTCGGCAGAGCTTCGCTTCAGGTGAGCCAGAGCAGATCGACCGGGCTCTGCAGACGGCGCTAGAGGGTCTCCCATCCTGACGTTCTCTCTCTCCTTCCCCCCTGGCCCTCTTGCGCTTCTGCCTCCCCCGATTCCCTTTTTGCAGGAGCGAGCCGTCTTCTGGAGGCGCATGCCTTGGAGGCCGTGCGTGCCCGTCACGCCTCTCCCTTGCACCTTGCCCGTTTGACTTCCCTTCAGGGCGGAGGTGCAGGAGCGTGGTTGACGTCGGTGCCGTACGCCGACCCACTGCGCATCCCGGAGGCGCTGTGGCAGGCGGCTTCATCTTCTCGTCTTGGTCTCCCTATCCCCCAGTTAGCCCTTGCAGGTCAGTGCTCCTGCGGACAGGCGATTGACGACATGACGGTGCCTCATCACGCGGTTCGGTGCCCGCGTTACGGGGTCGCCACTACCATCCCACGACACGGTGAAGTACATGCTTCGAGACTTTGCGGTCGAGGCGGGCTTCGCGGTAAAGGTGGAGGACTCTACGCTGTTCACACAGTTGGAGGCGGCTCGAGCGAGACTACTGGGACAGCCAGTGGTGGGAGAGGGGACACGGGCTGAGGGACCGGGGGAGCGGAGAGGCGAGGCGGGACAGCCGGGTGGCGGGGGGACAGTGGGGGACGGCACCAGCTGCGGGGTCAGGTGGAGCGAGGGACAGGTGGGCAGAGGGGACGGCAGGGGGAGCAGACGGGCCAGGACGGGGAGGGGGGACGGCACAGGCAGCAGCAGAGAGCCAGTGGAGGCCGCGGGCCCAGGGCGCCGCGCCTCCAGGTTCGGCCCTCGGGGGCGGGGCAGGGGCGGGAGCAGCAGAGAGCGGACGGAGGTACAGGAGGGGCAGCGGGATTGGGAGGGGAGGGCAGGGAGTGAGAGAGGCAGCAGGGGATGGAGCAGGGGGGTCGGGAGGTTTTGGGGGAGGGTAGGGAGGGGGAGGGGAGAGGGACAGGTGGATGGAGGAGAGGAGAGGGGGAGAGAGACGATCGGAGAGGGGCACCAAGGGACCAGACAGGGCAGCAGCCAGCGCAACAGCAGGGACCAGTCGGACGCACAGGCCGTGTAGGCACCGCCTCCCGCATTCCAGACCTCACCTGCCGCGACGTTGGCCAGGGTCTGATGGTTCTTGTGGATGTCTCCATAGCGGATCCACAGCGGGAGGGGAACGTGCAGCTGAGACGGGCGACCCCCACACAGATTGGAGTGGCAGCAGCTAGGCGGGTGCAGGAGAAGCTGCGTCACTGGGGGCCGCACTTAGAGGGGCTGCAGCCGGCACCACACTTTTACGCGTGCGTGGCGGAGACCTTTGGCCTTCTGAGTGAGCCGCTGCGTCAGTTTCTGGGGCTCTGCGCAAAGAGGATAGCACAGCGGAGGAGGGATAGAGGTGGGGGGGATGACGGATCGGCACGGATATTTGAGGCAGGACTCACTACACGCCTCTCCGTTGCACTGCAGCGCGCGCAGGCTCAATGCATGATCCAGCATGCGGTGCGGCAGTTAGGGAGGTCCGACGACGGGTGGATGCCCGCACCAGTCCCACTGGGTGCGGGGCAGGGAACTTGGCACCACGTCACAGGGTGCTTCGAGAGTGTGGCTGATATGCAGTATATATATGATGCATATGTGTAAAAACAATAGTGGCTGTGCTTGAAACGCTGTGCCCGTGCGGTCGTGCGGGTTGCTGCCGTGTTTGGTCCTTTGGTGCTTCCCTCCTCCTTAGTCTCTCTCCTCTCTCCTCTTCTCTTCCCACCTCCCTCTTTCTGTTCCCTTCTTCTATCCTTCCCTTCTCTTCCTACCACCCTCTTCCTTTCCCTACCACTTCTTCTTACTCCTTCATCTTTCCTTCCTTTCCTTTCTTTCCCCCTTTTCCTACAAAATATATATACCGTCCTCATAGCGCTTAGGCTATGTCGAAATTTCCTAGTCTTGGAAAAACCATTATATTCGGCTTGTATTTGCTCTTCCCTTATTAATGAATAACTGCTCTCGCCCACCGGCGCTTAGCTTCGGAGTTCTGATGGGATCCGGCGTAGTAGCCGAGGTATGATCGTACCACGTCAACCCCGTGCCCCGACCGGTACACACCCCTTGCCCGGGTCCCCCCCTTCATAGTCACACCCCCTGCCCCCTCATGCCATCCGCTCCCCCCGCCCCTACCCTCCGCGTGCCCGCTCCCTTGCCGCCTCTTTTGACCCTCCCTGCCCCCCTCGCCGTTTCCCACCGCCCGCCATTCGCTCCTCCCCGCCCGTGCGCTCCCCTCGCTTTACCTTCTCCTCCCCCCTCCCCTCCTCTGCTGCACGCCTCTTCCTTCCCCTCGCCGACCCACTCCACTCCCTGCCCCTCCTCAATCCGCACCCTGCCCCTCGTATCTCGCCCCCCTATGCTTGGTTTCTCCCCTCCCTGCCCCTCGCCGCCTTTCTCCCGCCCCCCACCTCCCCCCTCTCCCTGCCCCCCCACTCTCCCCCCCCTTGTCCTTGGCTTCCTACCTCCCTGCCTCACCTTTCCCCCCTCCTGTGTGCTCAGCTTCTCCCCTCCCTGCCCCTCCCTCCTCCCCGCCCTGCCCCTCAGTTTTCCGCCCCCCCCCACGCCCGGTTTCTCCCCTCCCCGCGCCTCCCTTTCTTTCTCCGTGCCTCTCCTTTGCTCCCTCCCTGCCCCCGCCTGCCCATGCCCCTGTCTTTGGCTTCTCCCCTCCCTGCCCCACGTTTCTTCCCTCCCTGCCCACCCCTCTGCCCCTCCCTTGTTTTCCCCTCACCCATTGCTTCTCTCCCTCCCTGCCCTTGATTTCCCACACCCCTGCCCTTCGTTTCCTATCATCCATGCCCCTCGTTTCCCCCCCTTTGTACGTTCAGCCTCTTCCCTCCCTGCCCCTCCCTTCCTCCCCCCCTGCCCTTTGCTCTCCCCTCGTTACGCTCCCTTCTCCCCATCCCTGCTGCCCTCTTACCACCATCAGCCCATCCCCACGACCAGCCCCCCTCCCACCCTTCATCCCCCTCCCTCTCTCTCTCCTCTCTCTCTCTCTCTCTCTCTCTTTCTCACACACACACACACGCACACTCCCCTCCCCCACCCCCCCCACCCTACATCCTCCCATTCTGCCCCTCCCTGCCCCTTTCCCACCCCCTCGCACGCCCCTCACCTCCCACCTCCGTGCAACTGGTTTCCCCCCCTATGGTGCCTCCCTTGCATCGCTCGCCCCTCTGCTCACCCTCTGCCCGCCCCTTTTCCGTGCCCTCAGCTGGCCCAGCCCCTGCCCGTTGCTGCCCCTCCCCTTGCCCCCTCAACTCCCCTGCCCCCCGTACACCCCCAGTCCCATCCAACCGCCCCCACCCTCCCCCGGCTGCCCGTTTCCGCTCTCCACCCCCGCGACCGTGTGCGGCTTCCAACCGCCCAACGGTGGTGCGCACGGGGCGTTTCTTCGCACTGGGCAAGCCTCCCCGGGGGCCCCCCCACCCCGCTGGGTCGTTGTTCGGGCAAAAAAACGAAAATGAAAAAATCGGACGCGCTGAAAATCGTCCTTTCTTTTTCCCGCTTGCCCCTCCCCCGGCACGTGCCGAGCAAGGGGCATAAATGGGTACAACACGAGGGGACTTCCCGGCCACCGATCCATCTACAGCAGATGAGCGCCGCATTGCACGTTGCCTTCGTCTGGCAGCGTGCAATGAGACCTCACGGGTCGTGCGCGGCTCTCCGAGTCCGCGGAGGCAGCCCCAGATACACAGGGGACGATACAGCGCCTGCAGTCGAAGCACCCCAACGCGGAGAGGCCGACCCCAGCTTTGCTGTCTGGCTTCCAGGGGTCCCCTCTTGTGCTCTCCGGTGGATCACTTACGCCGCGCAATTTTCACAGCTCCGCGGGGGCTCTTCGGGAGGACCGTCCGGTTGGGTCGCTGAGCACCTGCGAGACACTTTCTTAGCTTTCCCTCAGAGTCTCCATTTCCTCCTGGCCGTGTACCAGCAGTGGCTCGAGGCCGTTGCGCTCCAGCTGCACGCTCCTTGCTAGCGTCTTCCACCCTCGTGGCTCTGGCAAAGTCGAACATGGATGTTCGGCCGATTGCCATCGGCGAGGTTTTGGTCCGCATTCTTTCTCGTGCAGTCTGTCTCCAGCTACGTGACCAGATGGCGAGGGTCTTCTTGGCAGTCACAGCAGTTTGGGGGTGGGGGTTATGTGCGGGACAGAGGTCGTAGTTAGAGGCGTCCGCCGCGCCCTGGCTGACCACCCAGACTGGGTGGTCTTGCAGCTAGACGTGGCGAATGCCTTTAACTCTTTCCACCGATACAGGATGTTCCAGGCGCTGCAGGCCAGCCCGGAGTTTCAGTGTCTGATCCCCTTCATCGGCCTCTTCTACGGGACGCCCTCGGATCTCCACTACAGGTCAGGCACGGGAGTGGTCACGATGCACTCGGAGCGGGGCACTCGCCAGGGAGACCCTCTCAGCCCCTTCTTGTACGCTCTGACACAGCGTCTTGCTTTGGAGCGGTTCTGGCGAGGGGGATGTCCAGCTCTGGTCGTACGCCGATGGACACGTACGTGCTAGGTCCCCCAGACAGGGTGCTGCCACCACTTTTGCCGAGATCGTGAGGCGCTTGGGCGAGATGGGCCTTGCAGCCCAGCCGCACAAGTGCCTCGTCTACCAGACGAGTCCTTTCTGTCCAGGGATCTGGAGGCTTTCACGGGCCTAGGGATCGAGGTCGCACGCCGAGGGCTCACCGTGACAGGCGTACCGGTAGGCACCGTTTCGTTCGTGGAGCAGAGTCTCCCGGATCGTCTCGAGAGGATGGGGCGGGTGCTACCTTGGCTTCCAGAGGTTGCGCCAGCCCCCAGAACAGCTGCCCGCCTTCCTTTCGAGCGTGTGTCAGCACTCTGTCCGCAGTACCTGTCGAGGACCGTCCCTCCTTCGCACCGCAGTGATCTCCAGTTTTACACGGTGGGACGCACGCCTGGGAGAGACTTTTCAGCAGCTTTAGCTTCAGGGACCTGGGCTTGTCGCGAGGACGTCCGAGAGGCCGCCCTAGACCAGATCTTCCTCCCCATCCGTCTCGGGGGTTTCGGCATTCGTCGCATGGCGCGCATTGCCCCGGTGAGTTTCGTGTGCTCCTGGGTGCAGTGTGCACCCATTCTCTGTTCTCTCCCTGCGTGTGGCGAGGTGTTTCGGCAGAGCTTCGCTTCAGGTGAGCCAGAGCAGATCGACCGGGCTCTGCAGACGGCGCTAGAGGGTCTCCACCTGACGTTCTCTCTCTCCTTCCCCCCTGGCCCTCTTGCGCTTCTGCCTCCCCCGATTCCCTTTTTGCAGGAGCGAGCCGTCTTCTGGAGGCGCATGCCTTGGAGGCCGTGCGTGCCCGTCACGCCTCTCCCTTGCACCTTGCCCGTTTGACTTCCCTTCAGGGCGGAGGTGCAGGGGCGTGGTTGACGTCGGTGCCGTACGCCGATCCACTGCGCATCCCGGAGGCGCTGTGGCAGGCGGCTTCATCTTCTCGTCTTGGTCTCCCTATCCCCCAGTTAGCCCTTGCAGGTCAGTGCTCCTGCGGACAGGCGATTGACGACATGACGGTGCCTCATCACGCGGTTCGGTGCCCGCGCTACGGGGTCGCCACTACCATCCACGACACGGTGAAGTACATGCTTCGAGACTTTGCGGTCGAGGCGGGCTTCGCGGTAAAGGTGGAGGACCTCTACGCTGTTCACACAGTTGGAGGCGGCTCGAGCGAGACTACTGGGACAGCCAGTGGTGGGAGAGGGGACACGGGCTGAGGGACCGGGGGAGCGGAGAGGCGAGGCGGGACAGCCGGGTGGCGGGGGACAGTGGGGACGGCACCAGCTGCGGGGTCAGGTGGAGCGAGGGACAGGTGGGCAGAGGGGATGGCAGGGGGAGCAGACGGGCCAGGACGGGGAGGGGGGGACGGCACAGGCAGCAGCAGGAGAGCCAGTGGAGGCCGCGGGCCCAGGGCGCCGCGCCTCCAGGTTCGGCCTCGGGGGCGGGGCAGGGCGGGAGCAGCAGAGAGCGGACGGAGGTACAGGAGGGGCAGCGGGATTGGGAGGGGAGGGCCAGGGAGTGAGAGAGGCAGCAGGGGATGGAGCAGGGGGGTCGGGAGGTTTGGGGGAGGGTAGAGAGGGGGAGGGGAGAGGACAGGTGGATGGAGGAGAGGAGAGGGGGAGAGAGACGATCGGAGAGGGGGCACCAAGGGACCAGACAGGGCAGCAGCCAGCGCAACAGCAGGGACCAGTCGGACGCACAGGCCGTGTAGGCACCGCCTCCCGCATTCCAGATCTCACCTGCCGCGACGTTGGCCAGGGTCTGATGGTTCTTGTGGATGTCTCCATAGCGGATCCACAGCGGGAGGGGAACGTGCAGCTGAGACGGGCGACCCCCACACAGATTGGAGTGGCAGCAGCTAGGCGGGTGCAGGAGAAGCTGCGTCACTGGGGGCCGCACTTAGAGGGGCTGCAGCCGACACCACACTTTTACGCGTGCGTGGCGGAGACCTTTGGCCTTCTGAGTGAGCCGCTGCGTCAGTTTCTGGGGCTCTGCGCAAAGAGGATAGCACAGCGGAGGAGGGATAGAGGTGGGGGGGATGACGGATCGGCACGGATATTTGAGGCAGGACTCACTACACGCCTCTCCGTTGCACTGCAGCGCGCGCAGGCTCAATGCATGATCCAGCATGCGGTGCGGCAGTTAGGGAGGTCCGACGACGGGTGGATACCCGCACCAGTCCCACTGGGTGCGGGGCAGGGAACTTGGCACCACGTCACAGGGTGCTTCGAGAGTGTGGCTGATATGCAGTATATATATGATGCATATGTGTAAAAAACAATAGTGGCTGTGCTTGAAACGCTGTGCCCGTGCGGTCGTGCGGGTTGCTGCCGTGTTTTGGTCCTTTGGTGCTTCCTCCTCCTTAGTCTCTCTCCCTCTCTCCTCTTCTCTTCCCACCTCCCTCTTTCTGTTCCCCTCTTCTATCCTTCCCTTCTCTTCCTACCACCCTCTTCTTTCCCTACCACTTCTTCTTACTCCTTCATCTTTCCTTCCTTTCCTTTCTTTCCCCCTTTTCCTACAAAATATATATACCGTCCTCATAGCGATTAGGCTATGTCGAAATTTCCTAGTCTTGGAAAAACCATTATATTCGGCTTGTATTTGCTCTTCCCTTATTAATGAATAACTGCTCTCGCCCACCGGCGCTTAGCTTCGGAGTTCTGATGGGATCCGGCGTAGTAGCCGAGGTATGATCGTACCACGTCAACCCCGTGCCCCGACCGGTACACACCCCTTGCCCGGGTCCCCCCCTTCATAGTCACACCCCCTGCCCCCTCATGCCATCCGCTCCCCCCGCCCCTACCCTCCGCGTGCCCGCTCCCTTGCCGCCTCTTTTGACCCTCCCTGCCCCCCTCGCCGTTTCCCACCGCCCGCCATTCGCTCCTCCCCGCCCGTGCGCTCCCCTCGCTTACCTTCTCCTCCCCCCTCCCCTCCTCTGCTGCACGCCTCTTCCTTCCCCTCGCCGACCCACTCCACTCCCTGCCCCTCCTCAATCCGCACCCTGCCCCTCGTATCTCGCCCCCCCTATGCTTGGTTTCTCCCCTCCCTGCCCCTCGCCGCCTTTCTCCGCCCCCCACCTCCCCCCTCTCCCTGCCCCCCCCACTCTCCCCCCCCCTTGTCCTTGGCTTCCTACCTCCCTGCCTCACCTTTCCCCCCTCCGTGTGCTCAGCTTCTCCCCTCCCTGCCCCTCCCTCCTCCCCGCCCTGCCCCTCGTTTTCCGCCCCCCCCCCCCCACGCCCGGTTTCTCCCCTCCCCGCGCCTCCCTTTCTTTCTCCGTGCCTCTCCTTTGCTCCCTCCCTGCCCCCGCCTGCCCATGCCCCTGTCTTTGGCTTCTCCCCTCCCTGCCCCACGTTTCTTCCCTCCCTGCCCCCCCGTCTGCCCCTCCCTTGTTTTCCCCTCACCCATTGCTTCTCTCCTCCCTGCCCTTGATTTCCCACACCCCTGCCCTCGTTTCCTATCATCCATGCCCCTCGTTTCCCCCCCTTTGTACGTTCAGCCTCTTCCCTCCCTGCCCCTCCCTTCCTCCCCCCCTGCCCTTTGCTCTCCCCTCGTTACGCTCCCTTCTCCCCATCCCTGCTGCCCTCTTACCACCATCAGCCCATCCCCACGACCAGCCCCCCTCCCACCCTTCAATCCCCCCCTCCCTCTCTCTCTCTCTCTCTCTCTCTCTCTTTCTCACACCACACACACACGCACACTCCCCTCCCCCACCCCCCCCCACCTACATCCTCCCATTCTGCCCCTCCCTGCCCCTTTCCCACCCCCTCGCACGCCCCTCACCTCCCACCTCCGTGCAACTGGTTTCCCCCCTATGGTGCCACCCTTGCATCGCTCGCCCCTCTGCTCACCCTCTGCCCGCCCCTTTTCCGTGCCCTCAGTTGGCCCAGCCCCTGCCCGTTGCTGCCCCTCCCCTTGCCCCCTCAACTCCCCTGCCCCCCGTACACCCCAAGTCCCATCCAACCGCCCCCACCCTCCCCCGGCTGCCCGTTTCCGCTCTCCACCCCCGCGACCGTGTGCGGCTTCCAACCGCCCAACGGTGGTGCGCACGGGGCGTTTCTTCGCATGGGCAAGCCTCCCCGGGGGCCCCCCACCCCGCTGGGTCGTTGTTTGGGCAAAAAAACGAAAAGAAAAAATCGGACGCGCTGAAATCGTCCTTTCTTTTTCCCCGCTTGCCCCTCCCCCGGCACGTGCCGAGCAAGGGGCATAAATGGGTACAACACGAGGACTTCCCGGGAGGTCACCCAGCCCCAGTACTGCTCTCGCCCACCGGCGCTCTTACCTTGACCTAGCTTACCTAGCCTTGGCTGCCTACTAAGGAGCCTCCTAAACCTACTATTTCGAGTTGCTTAAGGACAAAGTGATTGTGATAATTGTTTATCTTATAGTTATAAGCGTTTCCAACGGTTAGTTTTCCAGTTTCGACTGTCGAGTCCGACGGGTCGGGGGTCGCGAGTTTCGCTGCCGCGACCCTCAGGAGTCTCGGAAACGGAACTCGCGGGGTGTTACGGAACCGCTCGTTCGACCCCGCCATCGCGGGAAGGCTGCGGACGCGCTGCAGCCGATGTAACGGGAGGTGGGGCGTTGACGCGAAGTTCGCTCCGCGGAGTGTAACAGCGCGCGCGACTCACAACCACAACTCCGCCAGACACGGTGTTCCCGCCCATCCCCTCTCTCGACACTCTCCCTTATCCCCCCGCTCTTTTCTGCCCACGGCTTTTCTATTCGAAGCGATTAGCTACTACCGATTTTCTTCCCACGGTTTCCCTCTCTCGAAGTCACTGAGCTTAGCTTCCGCCCGTAGTTAGCATTCTTCCTTCCCTTTCAGTGCGCCCTTCTTTATCGAAACCCTAATTCGAAGAGCCGCGCGTTTTCAAGCACGCTTTCTCGTCGCCTGTCATGTTTAGTCACGCACTCATTTTCCCCGCCCGTTCAATCTAGCCGCGACGTAGACAGAACCGCGCACGGGGCGCTTACCGCCAGGGAAAGGCAGCGCGGAGGGAGGCAAAATTGCTACGTTCGTAGCGATTAAGCAGCCCTCCCCTTGCGCGCCTCCCGAAGCGCGTTTTCTGCCTAGAGCGTTTTAGCCGCCCACGTTGGGCACACAGGCTGCCCCACTCCCCCTTTGCTCACTCCCACCCTGCCGTGCCTCGTCGCGCACTCGTGCATGCCACCCACACGTCGTAATTTTACCCCGTCGCCACCCACATAGTCACCTCCCTGCTCACACCGCCCCTTTCCCCCTCACACGCGCGCTTTAGCCACCCCGCCACCTAACCTCTTTCCCTAACGGCGCTTAGCTAGCAGAGGCCGCCCTGTTTCTGGAAACCGTAGGAAATAAGAGGAAACAACTTCAAGGAAAAAAGAAAAGAAAAAGAAATTCATATAAATCCGAAAAAACCAGGAAAAATCAGAAAGGCAGCTTACACCTTGTTCTCCCAACCCTCCAGGGCCCCACTCCAGTCCGCCACCCCCCCATTCTGTTTCATCATACTACACCACACCCTCCCCTTTTGCCCACCAGCATTACCGCCCCTCTCCCCTTATCCCCCACCACGCCCCCAAGCAGGCCTTTCTCCCCCCAGCCTCCCGTCTCCCTGCCCTTAGTACCGCCGCGCTCTGCCCGTGCGTCACCCTTGCCCACTTCATACCACCTCCCCCTTCTCCCCCCCCCCCGGCTTCTCCCTATCATCACCCGCATGTTCCCCCACTCCCCTGTCCACAACGTCCTCCTCCACCCCCCCTCCTGCCTTTCCCCACTCCCACTCTGCCCCCACACCTCTACGAGCCGTACTTCCCCCTCCAGCCTCCCTTTCCCCCCCAGCTACTTCCGCATCCAGCGTGGGCTGCACCTCTGCATCCCGCCCTGCCAGGCCCTTCGGTGACCCAACTGCCGCCACCTGGCACCACGCCGCCTTTCCCACCCCCATCCAATCTCTACACCCCCTGCCCCTGCTCCCTGCGCAATCCAGCCACCTACCCCAGCCTCCCTCTACCTCTCCCTAACTCCACACCGCCGTTCCTACCCCCAGCCAAGGTCTACACCCCTTGCTTTTGCTCCCTGGGCTGTGCCGTCCCCAACCTCCCTCCGCCTTTCCGCGGCACCAGACCGCCTCTCCCTCCCCCAGCCAACCTTTGCACCCCCTGTTCCTGCCCCTTGTGCCCTCCAACACCCTACCTCAACCAGTCTCCCCCTTCTCCAACACCCTCCATATTTCCTCCCCCCTGGGGCTCGCCCATCCGCAGTTATCACCCTTCATCGATTCCCCAATTCCCTCTGTCCCCTGTTTCCCGGCCCCGCATCCTATCCTGCATTTACCACAGCAGCCTCCTTTCGGTGCCCTCTCTGCCCTCCCACGTTCTCACCCCCCGCCTCCCAACCTTCTCATTACCCGCTACCAGGCTCACGCCAACTCGACTACCCACTACCCTTTGCCCCTTCCTCTCTGTTCCCCACCCTTCCTTTCCCACCTGGCTCCACCTGCCCACCCCCACCTCCCGTGGAATTCTGCCCTGCCCTCCCCACCTCTGGCCCACCACCTGTCCCCACACCCTGCTCACCCACCGCTACATCCACCCCCGCCCCCCCACCTCCACTACAGCCCGCCAACACTTCCCCTCTCAATCGGCCCCCAGCCCGCCCCCCCCTTGGGCCCCAATCCCCTCCAACTGTCAGGCCCCCTCTACCCTCTCTTCCACCCACTGCGCACCGCTTTCCCCACCCTTTTCCCCTTTCCCCAAGCTAACCCCCCGCACCCCGGCCTCTGCCAGGGAGTTCCTTCCCCCTTTGACGCCCTCTTGAGCCAACCCCAGCAACTCACACCGCCACCGCCAGGCATGCTGCCTCTGTAACAATGCCCCAGCACCCCGCGAGTGGGGGAAAGGCAGACCCGGGAGCCCCTCGGCGATCTGGGAGGTCCCGCAGCCGAGCCACCCCCTACTCTCCCACTCCCCCCACTTCAACAGTCAGGAAGAAACAACACACACCTGACCAAGCGAAAACACTCACACAATCTGACCCTAGGGGCCAGAAGCGTACCTTTGAAGAGGATGGAACAGAGGAACGCCAAGCCCCACTGGAGGAAATACACGAGGAGGAGCCAGCACGCTCAAAACCGCGCCCTACCCCCGCTGCCCCATCCCAGTCTACCCCCCCTTCAGGTGACAGCGGGGGCGGCACCCATGCATGCTCAGTAGAGAGATCCTCCAACTCACTCGCTACCTCCCATTCGCAAACCAGATTACTTGTGAAAACACTTAATCCTACCCGCACCCCCAAGCACATAGAAGCGGGAGAGGGCAGAGCCAGGGGGGAACTTGCAGCTGACACTGCACGGGAAGGGGTAAGTGAGTTTGTGTGTGAAGGAGCAGCAGAGGCTGCAGAGGATGGGGCAGCAAAGGCTGCACGGGAAGGGGCAATGGGGGTTGTGGGGGAAGGGGCAGCAGAGGCTGCAGAGGAAAGGGCAGCAGAGGCTGCAAGGGAAGGGGCAGCAGCGGCTGCACGGGAAAGGGCGGCAGGGGCTGCACGGGAAGGGGCGGCAGGGACCGTGACTCTGGCCAGGCAAAGGGCAGAGGCCATGGAGACAGGTTTTGCAGGAGTAGGGGCCACGGAACCTGCTGCTGTGTCGGCTGGGGGAACCGCAGCAGAGGAGGCTATAGGGACCGCACCAGGTGAGGCCGCACAGACCACAGCAGGTGTGGCTGCAGGGATCACAACGGGTGAGGCTGCAGGAGGGACCATGGCAGGTGAGGCCGCAGGGAGCGCAGTAGGTGAGGCTGCGGGGAGCGCAGCAGGTGAGGCTGTAGGGGGCGCAGCAGGTGAGGCTGCAGAGAGCGCAGCAGGTGAGGCCGCAGGGAGCGCAGCAAGCGAGGCTGCAGGGAGCGCAGCAGGCGAGGCTGCAGGGAGCGCAGCAGGCGGGACTGCAGGGGCCACAGCAGGTGAGGCTGCGGCGGACGCAGCAGGTGAGGCTGCGAGGGCTGCATCATGTAAGGTTGGGCAGACTCTAGCAGGTGAGGCTGCACAGTCTACAGCTGGTGAGGTCGCATGGACTGCAACAGGTGAGGCCGCAGGGACTGCAGCAGGTGAGGCGGCAGGGACCACAGCGGATGAGGCTGCAGGCGGGACCATGGCAGGTGAGGCCGCAGGGAGCGCAGCAGGTGAGGCTGAAATAGCCGCAGCAGGTGAGGCTGCAGAGGCCGCAGCATGTGAGGTTGAGCAGATTCTAGCAGGTGAGGCTGCACAGACTGCAGCAGGTGAGGCCGCAGGGACTGCAGCGGGTGAGGCTGCAGGGACTGCAGCACGTGAGGCTGCAGGGACTGCAGCACGTGAGGCTAGCAGGGATCGCGGCTGGTGAGGCTGAGCAGATTACGGTAGGCGAGGTTTTACAGACTGCAGCAGTCGAGGCTGCAAGGACTGCAGCAGGAGCGACAGAGGCCACAGCGGGGGCTGGTATAGGGGGAGGTGCTACGGGTGCAGCGGGGAAGGGGGTAACGGGGACTGGTGCGAGGGAGAGTGCCGCCCCGGCTGTAGCAAGAGAGGGTACGGCAGGGGCCTCAAAGGCAGAAGGTGAGGCTGCAGCTGAAGCAGCAGGGAGGGCCATAGCACGGCCAGTAGGGGCGGCAGGGGCCGCAGCAAACTCGGGGAAACACACAGCAGGGCCGGCAGGGCCGGCAGAGACTGCAAAAGGGGCTAGCAGTAAAGCGGCAGCAGGCGGGGTGGGCTCGGGGGACATAGGGGCAACAGGGGAAGGAGAGGTGAGTGTGGTCCCGACCGGGGTGGGCACTGAAGAGGGGGATGTGATAGCGATAGAGGAGGATGAGGGAGAGGATGTGATGCACATTGACGGGCCACTGGCCCAATACCTCACGCTTGACGGTGAGGCCGACCCGGCCCCCCTGCAGCCTCACGTCGAGGTTCCCCCTCTACCCCCCATGCCCGTCCCCATGCTAGCAGAAGGACCGATGGAGGGGCTGGGGGAGACCTTGAGGACAGAGCCGCGCGAGGGAGCCCCCATCCTCACCTCCCGTCCTCCAGCCCACCCACCCCCAGGAGCACCACTTCCCCACCCCCACCCTCAGGTCCCGGTAGTGTCCAGGGGGGCAGCCAAGGCCCTGGCCTTCTTGGCGGAGCCGTGCTCCCCGACCCCCACGCTGCTCCATGGCCAGCCCCCCTCTCCGTCCCCAACGCCTGACCCCACGGTTGCAGGCGGTCCACCGGGAGAGCACGCGGGTGCGACAAGAGCAGAGCACCCGAGGGCACCCCTTCTCTCACCTCTCACCCCTCCCCGCCCCTTCCCTCACTCCTTCCTTCACCCCCAAGGGCAGCACACCTCTGCCCCCACCCTCAGGGGCTCCTTAGAGCACCACGTGGAGCAGCCAGGGCTCTGGTCTTCCTAGAGGAGCCATGCTCCCCGACTCCTACCAACACCCAGCCACCCCCTTACCGGCCCACTACCCCCTCCTCCACCAGGCCCCCCCCCACCCGGTAGTACACACATCTCGGAGGTTGAAGCATCTCTGCGGCCAAATCCCTCTCCCACACGCTACAGGCACCCAAACCACCCGAGTCGCCGCACAGCCCCAACACGCCCACCCAACAGGCTGCCCTCCCCACACCACCCCCCCCAGGCAGCCGAGACCCACCCGCAAGGGCTTGCGCCCCAGGCTCATGGGAGCGGCGGCACCCGGGTAGAGGGGCCCACAGGAGAGGCCACCACAGGGCCCACACAAATCTCTCTCCCCCCACCGTTTGTACCTCGCTCTAACCTCCACACTGGCCCAGCCCCTCGACCCCCACCTCCAACCCCCTCTCCCGGCCGGGTTCCCCACGAGTGGCCCCGTTGGGCAGCCATCACCCCCCACACACAGCTTGCCCGATCTGTTCCCACGGAGGGGGATGTTTCGAGGAGAGTGGGGATGCACACAGAGCACCCCCTGCCTGGCGAACCACCCATCCTCCCTCCACCCACCCCTTTGGCCCCACAGCCCCCCCTTCCTTCACAAACAGGCGCGGACAACCAGGTTGGCCGCCGGCGGAAGAACAGGGGCAGAGGAGGCAGAGGGTCAGCCCACGTACTCCCCCCTCCCTCCCTCCCCCACCAAGAGCCCCTCCCCTACCTCACATCCCGTTGAACAATTACCAGGCCCTACCTCTACAGCCCGACCACCAAACCTACACTCCCGCCCCGCTCCTGCACCTCCACAGGGCCATGGGAGCGGTACCAGCCCACTCACCCCCATTCTGCCCCTCCCGTGCTGTGTCCCCCTCCCAGGTGGCGGCGGCCGCGATCGCTACTGGGAGGGAGGCCGTCGGGTTGAGGGATGCGCCCATGGCAGACGCCACCGACTCCCCCTCCCATCCCTCCCACCCCTTCCATGTCGACGACCCCCCTACCGCAACCCATGGTGATTGGGGAGGGCCAAGGGGGCCTTCTAGGGCAGGGTCCACACCCGAGCTCCGCTCAGCCAGCACGCCCCACTCCACCCTCTACCCTGCCAGCCCTCCTACTCTCACCTACAGGCAGGCAGGTCTTCGAGACCCCAGAGGAGGTGAGGGCTGGCATTTCAGATTTGCTGGCGATACACCGCCTGAGCAGCTCTCCGGCTGCCCCCACCCTTCCAGTCCCACAGGACCGGACCCGGACGTATGCGGAGGTCACCCGGTCTGTCCCTTCTTTTATCCCCCCCGCCACTCAGCCTAGGCGCGTCACTCCCGACCCCAATGGAGACGGACCGGGGTCTGAGGCCGTGTCACTCGCACCTAGACGGGGTGGCGCCTCCCCCCGTTCAGCCCGTGGCGCAGGAGGTCACCAGCAGTAGGGATGAGGCATCCGCCCCTACCGAGACCCCTCCGCCTGGGGTAGCAGAGCCGTCACTTGAACCGCACCCCGCCGAGGGGCAGGAGCACACCACGGCACACACTTCAGGCTCACCTCCACGTCCCCCCTCCCCAGCTTCGACACCGGTACCGGCACGAGGCCCGGCCCTATCCTGTGCGACACCACCTCTATCTTCGCTGACACCCCCCCCGCGCGGGGCTGGTGAGTCGTCTCCTCCCCTCATCCCAGGCGATCCTCTCGGAGCTCAGGCCGCCCACGGGGTCCCCTCTACAGCCAGTTCCGACGCCACGGCCCCGATTGACCCCGCCGACACGGCGACATCACCCGACCAGGTCGTGAGTTGCCCCACCTGCAGGAGCTCTCTCGCGAACCGACGCGCGCTCCAGCACCACATTCCCTTCTGCCATCCTGCGGACGCGGCTCGCAGGGCGCAGGCTGCCCATGATACCGCCTCGATCATCCCTTCCCTCTCACAGCCCCGTGCGACCGGGATGCAGTTCACCGACGCACAGTGGCAGACGCTCGACTCGGTGGACTGGACAGAGTACTTCTCGCCCGAGCGTATCCATACACGCCCTCTCCGACGTGTCCCGGAGAGGGTCCGCGGAGGATATCTTGACGTCCTCAGTGCGATCCTAGTCCGCATTGCCCAGGACCCGGAGGCTGCTGGCCCTACCTTCCTCCTCGCTGCAGCGCCGACTCTTTTCCTTGTTCCAGCGACGCCACCCGACCGCTCGCACACGGCTGCCATTGCAACGCGCATCTCTCCGCTTTGGTCGAGGTGAGTGGGCTGAGCTAGTCTCAGATGCACTAGGCCGTCGCACACCCCTTCCTCGCGCGCACAGGTCACCGGTCACGCACCGCCACCGATCCCTCTGCAGCAGATGAGCGCCGCATTGCACGTTGCCTTCGTCTGGCAGCGTGCAATGAGACCTCACGGGCGTGCGCGGCTCTCGAGTCCGCGGAGGCAGCCCCAGATACACAGGGGACGATACAGCGCCTGCAGTCGAAGCACCCCAACGCGGAGAGGCCGACCCCAGCTTGGCTGTCTGGCTTCCAGGGGTCCCCTCTCGTGCTCTCGGTGGATCACTTACGCCGCAGCGATTTTCACAGCTCCGCGGGGCTCTTCGGGAGGACCGTCCGGTTGGGTCGCTGAGCACCTGCGAGACACTTTCCTAGCTTTCCCTCAGAGTCTCCATTTCCTCCTGGCCGTGTACCAGCAGTGGCTCCGAGGCCGTTGCGCTCCAGCTGCGCGCTCCTTGCTAGCGTCCTTCCACCCTCGTGGCTCTGGCGAAGTCGAACATGGATGTTCGGCCGATTGCCATCGGCGAGGTTTTGGTCCGCATTCTTTCTCGTGCAGTTTGTCTCCAGCTACGTGACCAGATGGCGAGGGTCTTCTTGGCAGTCACAGCAGTTTGGGGTGGGGGTTACGTGCGGGACAGAGGTCGTAGTTAGAGGCGTCCGCCGCGCCTCTGGCTGACCACCCAGACTGGGTGGTCCTGCAGCTAGACGTGGCGAATGCCTTTAACTCTTTCCACCGAGACAGGATGTTTCAGGCGCTGCAGGCCAGTCCCGGAGTTTCAGTGTCTGATCCCCTTCATCGGCCTCTTCTACGGGACGCCCTCGGATCTCCACTACAGGTCAGGCACGGGAGTGGTCACGATGCACTCGGAGCGGGGCACTCGCCAGGGAGACCCTCTCAGCCCCTTCTTGTACGCTCTGACACAGCGTCTTGCTTTGGAGCCGGTTCTGGCGGAGGGGGATGTCCAGCTCTGGTCGTACGCCGATGACACGTACGTGCTAGGTCCCCCAGACAGGGTGCTGCACCACTTTGCCGAGATCGTGAGGCGCTTGGGCGAGATGGGCCTTGCAGCCCAGCCGCACAAGTGCCTCGTCTACCAGACGGAGTCCTTTCTGTCCAGGGATCTGGAGGCTTTCACGGGCCTAGGGATCGAGGTCGCACGCCGAGGGCTCACCGTGACAGGCGTACCGGTAGGCACCGTTTCGTTCGTGGAGCAGAGTCTCCCGGATCGTCTCGAGAGGATGGGGCGGGTGCTACCTTGGCTTCCGAGGTTGCGCCAGCCCCAGACAGCTGCCCGCCTTCCTTTCGGCGTGTGTCAGCACTCGTCCGCAGTACCTGTCGAGGACCGTCCCTCCTTCGCCCGCAGTGATCTCCAGTTTTACACGGTGGGACGCACGCCTGGGAGAGACATTTCAGCAGCTTTTAGCTTCAGGGACCTGGGCTTGTCGCGAGGACGTCCGAGAGGCCGCCCTAGACCAGATCTTCCTCCCCATCCGTCTCGGGGGTTTCGGCATTCGTCGCATGGCGCGCATTGCCCCGGTGAGTTTCGTGTGCTCCTGGGTGCAGTGTGCACCCATTCTCTGTTCTCTCCCTGCGTGTGGCGAGGTGTTTCGGCAGAGCTTCGCTTCAGGTGAGCCAGAGCAGATCGACCGGGCTCTGCAGACGGCGCTAGAGGGTCTCCCTCCTGACGTTCTCTCTCTCCTTCCCCCCTGGCCCTCTTGCGCTTCTGCCTCCCCCGATTCCCTTTTTGCAGGAGCGAGCCGTCTTCTGGAGGCGCATGCCTTGGAGGCCGTGCGTGCCCGTCACACCTCTCCCTTGCACCTTGCCCGTTTGACTTCCCTTCAGGGCGGAGGTGCAGGAGCGTGGTTGACGTCGGTGCCGTACGCCGACCCACTGCGCATCCCGGAGGCGCTGTGGCAGGCGGCTTCATCTTCTCGTCTTGGTCTCCCTATCCCCCAGTTAGCCCTTGCAGGTCAGTGCTCCTGCGGACAGGCGATTGACGACATGACGGTGCCTCATCACGCGGTTCGGTGCCCGCGCTTACGGGGTCGCCACTACCATCCACGACACGGTGAAGTACATGCTTCGAGACTTTGCGGTCGAGGCGGGCTTCGCGGTAAAGGTGGAGGACTCTACGCTGTTCACACAGTTGGAGGCGGCTCGAGCGAGACTACTGGGACAGCCAGTGGTGGGAGAGGGGACACGGGCTGAGGGACCGGGGGAGCGGAGAGGCGAGGCGGGACAGCCGGGTGGCGGGGGACAGTGGGGACGGCACCAGCTGCGGGGTCAGGTGGAGCGAGGGACAGGTGGGCAGAGGGGACGGCAGGGGGAGCAGACGGGCCAGGACGGGGAGGGGGGACGGCACAGGCAGCAGCAGGAGAGCCAGTGGAGGCCGCGGGCCCAGGGCGCCGCGCCTCCAGGTTCGGCCTCGGGGGCGGGGCAGGGGCGGGAGCAGCAGAGAGCGGACGGAGGTACAGGAGGGGCAGCGGGATTGGGAGGGGAGGGCCAGGGAGTGAGAGAGGCAGCAGGGATGGAGCAGGGGGGTCGGGAGGTTTGGGGGAGGGTAGAGAGGGGGAGGGGAGAGGACAGGTGGATGGAGGAGAGGAGAGGGGGAGAGAGACGATCGGAGAGGGGGCACCAAGGGACCAGACAGGGCAGCAGCCAGCGCAACAGCAGGGACCAGTCGGACGCACAGGCCGTGTAGGCACCGCCTCCCGCATTCCAGACCTCACCTGCCGCGACGTTGGCCAGGGTCTGATGGTTCTTGTGGATGTCTCCATAGCGGATCCACAGCGGGAGGGGAACGTGCAGCTGAGACGGGCGACCCCCACACAGATTGGAGTGGCAGCAGCTAGGCGGGTGCAGGAGAAGCTGCGTCACTGGGGGCCGCACTTAGAGGGGCTGCAGCCGGCACCCACACTTTTACGCGTGCGTGGCGGAGACCTTTGGCCTTCTGAGTGAGCCGCTGCGTCAGTTTCTGGGGCTCTGCGCAAAGAGGATAGCACAGCGGAGGAGGGATAGAGGTGGGGGGATGACGGATCGGCACGGATATTTGAGGCAGGACTCACTACACGCCTCTCCGTTGCACTGCAGCGCGCGCAGGCTCAATGCATGATCCAGCATGCGGTGCGGCAGTTAGGGAGGTCCGACGACGGGTTGGATGCCCGCACCAGTCCCACTGGGTGCGGGGCAGGGAACTTGGCACCACGTCACAGGGTGCTTCGAGAGTGTGGCTGATATGCAGATATATATGATGCATATGTGTAAAAACAATAGTGGCTGTGCTTGAAACGCTGTGCCCGTGCGGTCGTGCGGGTTGCTGCCGTGTTTGGTCTTGGTGTGCTTCCTTCCTTCCTTAGTCTCTCTCTCTCTCTCCTCTTCTCTTCCCACCTCCCTCTTTCTGTTCCCGTTCTTCTATCCTTCCCTTCTCTTCCTACCCCCCTCATGCCTCTATCCCTACCACTTCTTCTTACTCCTTCATCTTTCCTTCCTTTCCTTTCTTTCACCCCTTTTCCTACAAAATATATATACCGTCCTCATAGCGCTTAGGCTATGGTCGAAAATTTCCTAGTCTTGGAAAAACCATTATATTCGGCTTGTATTTGCTCTTCCCTTATTAATGAATAACTGCTCTCGCCCACCGCGCTTAGCTTCGGAGTTCTGATGGGATCCGGCGTAGTAGCCGAGGTATGATCGTACCACGTCAACCCCGTGCCCCGACCGGTACACACCCCTTGCCCGGGTCCCCCCTTCATAGTCACACCCCCTGCCCCCTCATGCCATCCGCTCCCCCCGCCCCTACCCTCCGCGTGCCCGCTCCCTTGCCGCCTCTTTGACCCTCCCTGCCCCCCTCGCCGTTTCCCACCGCCCGCCATTCGCTCCTCCCCGCCCGTGCGCTCCCCTCCTTTACCTTCTCCTCCCCCCTCCCCTCCTCTGCTGCACGCCTCTTCCTTCCCCTCGCCGACCCACTCCACTCCCTGCCCCTCACTCAATCCGCCACCCTGCCCCCTCTTATCTCGCCCCACTATGCTTGGTTTCTCCCCTCCCTGCCCCTCGCCGCCTTTCCCGCCCCCCACCTCCCCCCTCTCCCTGCACCCCCCCACTCTCCCCCCCTTGCTCCTTGGCTTCCCTACCTCCCTGCCCCACCTTTTCCCCCCTCTGTGTGCTCAGCTTCTCCCCTCCCTGCCCCTCCCTCCTCCCCGCCCTTGCCCCTCGTTTTTCCTCCCCCCCCCCACCCGTTTTCTCCCCTCCCCGCGCCTCCCTTTCTTTCTCCGTGCCTCTCCTTTGCTCCCTCCCTGCCCCGCGCCTGCCCATGCCCCTGTCTTTGGCTTCTCCCCTCCCTGCCCCACGTTTTCTTCCCTCCCTGCCCTCTGCCCCCTCTGCCCCTCCCTTGTTCCCCTCACCTTGCTTCTTCTCCCCGTCCCTGCCCTTGTTTCCTACCATCCATGCCCCTCGTTTCCCCCCCTTTGTACGTTCAGCCTCTTCCCTCCCTGCCCCTCCCTTCCTCCCCCCCTGCCCTTTGCTCTCCCCTCGTTACGCTCCCTTCTCCCCATCCCTGCTGCCCTCTTACCACCATCAGCCCATCCCCACCACCAGCCCCCTTCCCACCCTTCTCTCCCCCCCTCCCTTTCCCTCTCTCTCTTTCTCACACACACACACGCACACTCCCCTCCCCCACCCCCCACCCACATCCTCCCATTCTGCCCCTCCCTGCCCCTTTCCCACCCCCTCGCACGCCCCTCACCTCCCACCTCCGTGCAACTGGTTTCCCCCTATGGTGCCTCCCCTTGCATCGCTCGCGCGCCTCTGCTCACCCTCTGCCCGCCCCTTTTCCGTGCCCCCAGCTGTCCCAGCCCCTGCCCGTTGCTGCCCCTCCCTTGCCCCCTCAACTCCCCTGCCCCCCGTACACCCAGTCCCATCCAACCGCCCCCACCTCCCCCGGCTGCCCGTTTCCGCTCTCCACCCCCGCGACCGTGTGCGGCTTCCAACCGCCCAACGGTGGTGCGAACGGGGCGTTTCTTCCGCACGGGCAAGCCTCCCCGGGGGCCCCCCACCCCGCTGTGGTCGTTGT